AATTATCGATTGAATATTAACCGGATATATATCGATTACTATCACAATCGATAGAACCCAACAGGGGGGATTATTATTGTATATATCCACATAGATATTGATCGATATATATCAGCCTATATTTTTTGCTGATGATGTTTCTATAGTAATTTAATATTCCAGAATAAGATATTTAAACCTCACTATTTTCTCTAAAGCACAGAGATAGTTAGTTCATATATTTTGGTTGTTATAACTTTAGATTTTGATATTCTGTTTATAATTTTTGTCTTGAGTTTTGAATTATTTTATTTTCTTCTTTAAATATTGTTATATTCTTTATTTATTTTTCTGTTATAATTGTGATATTTTTCTTGAAATTATTGTATTTTTCTTGAGTTATAATATTGTTTTATATATGTTATTCTTTTGAGTTTATAAAAATTTATCTTTAATATAAAAACTGTTGGTTATAATCTTTTATTGTGAGTATCATATTAACAATAAATCAATAATATTTTATTTTATTTATAAACTGTTTTCTATTATAAAATTATATAAACACATTTCTTAACTACTCGAATACTTAGTCAATTATTGTAACTTGTTAACCAAGGGTCTAACAATGTTACATTACAATACTTATTTTTTTTTTGTATCTTGATATAGATAACTAACCCCAACTAATAATTGAAAAAACCAAATCCTCAGAAAGTTAAGAATCCAATATAAAGCAAATTGGCTGCTTAAGTAGATCACATCTGTGCTTTAATGCAAGTGAATCATTATTAGCATAGGACTATAGTATAGAAAGATACTACACCATCTATTATATAAATTTCTGGTACTTCCAATTAAATAATAAAAACAGGATCATTGAAATTAAAAAATAAAACTAAAAAATAACAACAAACAAAAACAAATCAATCAATCAAATTAATACTGTAATAAAATTATTAAAACACAATTATTATTGAAAATAAGCTACTCTTTTTTCCAAATTATATGAAACTTTTAAAATATATACATAATAAATTTAGTAAAATTTAAACTTTTATATGTAGTAGCTGTTTATAATTTTTTAAGATTTTTAAAAAGTTTTTTGACTGAAATGATAAATTCATTGATCATTTTTTGCTATTTAAATTTTCACTTTGACGCAATGAACTACGTGTTTCGTGCCTTATATATCTTAATGACAAGCTCATTTGATCGATCAAAAATATATTCTGCTAGCTACATTTTCGACATTTTGACACATTGATTGAGACGCTTGAGAACGCCCTAAGTCAACTAATGCTATATCGATATGTTAAATATAAAATAAATGCGCTTTCTAATTGGTTCATATTAACTGCTACGTACGTACGTACGTACGTGATAATTCCAAAGGCAGGCTTAGAGGGTCGGAGTTTACTAATTTCCCCCCACACTTCACTATCGGAGTACCTTAATAACATAGACACAGACACTCGATATGAAAATAATTAGTAGAACCAATCAGAAGTGTGGGGTGAAATTAGTAAACTCAGAGGTTCGGGTATGGGTCTGCTATCCGTTGAATATTAAATTTAATAATAAAATCCATCAGATATCCGTTAAATTTAATATGAAAACGAATAACGGATTTAAGCACTAATAGATTTGTTTTTTTATCAAAGATATAAGAAAAGAAATTACAGTCGACTCTCTCTAAGTGCAACTCGTCGGGCCTATAGAAATTTTAATATAAAAAAAATAAAATCTTGCATTTAGAGAGAAGTTGCATTTATAGAATATTTTTTTATATATTTGGGGCCAAAAAAGCTCTTGCATTCAGAGAAAATTTTATTATAGTTGCACTTAGAGAACGTGCACTTAGAGAGAGTTGACTGTACGTATCAGAATTTTCTAACTTATAAACTAAGTTTTTCGCATCATGTATTGTGAGTGGGAACAGGATTTGGCGTTTTTTAAACCCTACAACATAACCTAAAATTCCAAATCCGTTCCCACTTACAACATATACATATATGTTAAATCTCAAGAATTAGAATTAGTATTGGAAAGATGGCAGTTTATTGAAGCAATATAACGTGAATTACGGTAACTATCGACAAACTTATCGGTCGAATCGGTAAGTTTACCGATATCGATATCGGTTGACGTACATACGTAACTTATCGGCTACATTCATAACAATAACAATAACTGATAATATGTACATACGTACGTACGTACATACGAATATAAATTCCGTTATACTATATCTATTGTACGTACGTACTTGCAATTTTTGTCGTTATTGTGTTTCGAATAGTGACCAGGGGGGGATAATCAATTCCTAAAATGAGAGTGACCCGGGTATAATCAAAGAGCATTGCTCAAAGTGAAAAATTTTGGTTAGGTATAACAAAATTATAAATATATATGTTGTAAGCGGGAACAAGATTTAAGTGGATTTGGGTTAGGGATACGTATAAAATAAACTCCACCCTGAAATACTAATTTAGCTAAGAAATTCCAAATCCACTTAAATCCCGTTTCCACTTACAACACACATATATATATGTATATAATTATTTATATTTATTCATCAATACTTGGCCTAAATCAATTCGTTTAGGCGATGGTTTAGGCCAGAGCGACATCTGAAACAACAATTATATATTAGGATATATATAGGACGTTATTGGTGATAAAAAAATATTAGTGACATGGAACTTTCTTACTGGTTTTGCAGAATAACTACAGAGGCTGTTTATTAATTGTCTAAAAATAGTATAATCATTTTCAGAAGCCTTAAAATGATCTATTAACTCCCACGCCAATTGAAAAGTTGTTCAAAAATGTAATGTGGGCGGTTTTTCATCAAGTGATCTGCTCGGAAAATTGGATTTTTTTATTAATTTAATGTTGTCCAAAATTGTTTGTCTTTCTTTTCATGAATAAAGATGGTTAAGTGGATTTATTGTTTAATAGTGTAACAAGTGTCAACTTAAATTTTTTTCTAATAGCGATAGTTAAAGAAGTATTCAAAGGAGGATATTCATCTTACGCATATCTTTTAAGTATCGGAAATTTTCGTAATTACGGTGACCGGGTGGAACAATAAAAGATAACATTCTAGCTTTGAATCATGTACAAACCTAAATTTTATTTTTTAGTGTATATTATCGCTATAAAACGTCTAGACCATCAACAAATTACAAATACAAACAATTTAAATTTAATATATTATCCTTAAAGCAAGAATTATACTAATGTTAATTATTAGTCCTTCTTTCCTTTATTCTTGTAAGCTTTTTGATAAAATCTAATAAATAGCACCAGAAAACTTCCATTACATAAGATTGAAAATACAAATGCTGAAAACCCATATTGGCAACTTTTTGTAAAATGATAATAAAGATATGGCACCGATAGTATAAATGATACTGAAAATTGAACAATTTGTCCGGTTGTGATGTATTGCTAATTATTGACGTAAGGAATGTGATAATTTAGAATATTTGTTAGAATAATGTTTTTTGAAAAACAATGTTTATACTCAATATCTATTTTTTTACGTACCTTGAACCATGTGGATCTTCCTAATACCGCGACAAAGTAATAATAGTACATGAATACATGTATGAACGTGTTTGCAATCATCCCAAGGCTTTGGAGTTTATAAAAAATATTAACGAACAATCTAAAATATTAAACACGTTTAATACGTTTAGTTGTATATATATAAATTTACTTACCTAGCATACATGTTTGCATCCTGCAGCCATGACCAAACCATTAGAATCACAATAGCATGATGATACCAATGTAGAAAAATTATTTCTTTCTATGAGAAAATATGTTAATGAAATTATGGTTGAATATTAATTACTTGTTGAAAATTTTTTTAAACTTACTTTTTTAAGTACTAATATCACGGTATCGATCAATTCAATAAATTTTGATAGGTAATAAATGTATGTAACATAGAATAATCTACCCTTCAAAGATGAATCGTCTGAAGTACAAAAACATTCACCGATACCGCGTTCCTAGTAATTGATAGATAAAATATAGATTATAATACATTAGTGACGAACAGGTAAAACGGTAAAACGCGGTCGTTTCTATATACAAACCTGCCATCGTTTAAAAAAGTCAATTACGGCGTATCCGAACATGATCGCGGACAATATGCATAGAAATAAATTATGTACAGCAATAACGCTTCTTAAAGTGAAGGGTGTTCGAGATTTCATAAATCTCTGATAATTTTTGTTAAAAAAAAAACCCCCAAATGTTATGTCAAATTTTGTGATCATTAAATATTTGATAAATACCTTTAATCCAATTATTATTACAAAGTACGTTATCCAAGAACCAACGACAATCTAAATTATTTGAAATGCATATAAATTAAAATTAGAATTTATTTGGAATTATTTTGAATTAATTATTATTTTTAGCATACTTGTAAATTAGAGAACGGTGTGATTCCAACTTTCCATTGAAAATTATTTGGATCCGTTAATTGTGAATAATCCCATTTTGAGTGATCAAATGGAATTGATAGAACTTCTATGCCCTTTGAAATGTTGGAATTATTAAACATATTAAAAGATGGTTGATGAAATAAACTATGATTTACGAATTATTTATAGTGCTAGGTGTTTAAAATTCAAATTTAATTTGATGTTCTCAAAAAAACATTTGAATGTTCTCGATATTAGAAAGTTAAAAAATTTTTAATATTAAAAAAATTAGTTAAATGTTCTTAAATAGAAAATATTTTCCAATCATTTATGTTCATAAAAATTGTTGTATTCTCAAAGAACACGAGAACATCGATTTTAAACACTGGTACTGGTGTGAGACGAATGGCCGAGTGGATAGGTTTGTTGGGAGAAATTCAAGACGAAAAGACTTTTATTAGATAAAATTGAGCTTGAGGTAGTGGACGATGTCTTTTTACAAATCTTTTACAAGCATTTTTATAAGAAAAAATTTACTAACATTCTAACTATATATTTGGTTATTAGATTATTATTCTTAAAACCATTTATCTTTTAACCCTTATTTTCCCGTTTTAGAACTAATATGTACTATCCTATTCATTTATGCATAACGATCCTATGCGTAACGATCTTACGCAATGCGGGCATAGTAAATAGTAGCGCGAATAAATAGATAAGATAAAATAAAAAGAAATATAATTAAACCTCTCTATAGTCATACTTTTGAAATACAAAAGATGGTAATTACATAAAGGTGTGATTATATAGAGGGCATTTTATATAGTCACAGCTATATTAAAAACAAAATCTTTGTGACCATAAAGAGATTTTATTAAAACAAAAAAAATTATAATTTTATATCAACTTTTGGCCTTAATTTCTCAATAACTACTAAATCAAATTGGTTAAAATTTTTACTAAAGATAATTAAAATTTTAGCTGATTTGAATCAATTCTTAAAAAATTTCTCAAAAACAATAAATAATTGTTAAAAAATTATTAAGTTTCTAAGCATTTTCTTAAAAACTACTAAACCAAATTGTCTGCAATTTTAATATGTTGTAGCTCATTAACATATTTATCTTCAGCCAATTTGGTTGAGAAAATTAAAATCGGAAGTTAATATCTATATTAATAAAATGACTATATTTTTTAAAAAAATGTGATAGTGATTATATAGATATGAGTGCGAAAACCTGTAAATGATCATAATGATTTATTATGTTCAGTTATAGTTTTTTGCTCTGCAGCACTCATATAATTAATATCAAAAAGGTTGGTAAAAATCAAACTGTGATTATATGGATTTTGTGACTATAGAGGGGTGCTATAGAGGTTTGATTGTAACGGTAATATACGCCTATAGCCATTAAGAGAGAGAGTTCGTTGGTGTCACGTGATCATAGTAACGGGTTCTAACCACATGCGCGTATCGTTATACGAAAGTCGGGTTTACCATACACGTTACACTAGGTTCGTGAGACATTTTGCTATGTCAAATTAGATCTGCAGTAGTAAATATGGTAATTATAGTAAATGTACTGTAAAATTGTTTGCTTTTTTATTTCGGTAATACGGAATTTTTCGGCGGTGCGGTTATTAAATGACTCAGTCCTCCGAGAGTGCCAGTGAAAATATTTGTTCACTCGCCGAAATATTCCGCAATGCATGATTTACAATAATATATATAGTTGTGGTCCCCAGGGCTTTAACTTTTTGGTTTTTTTCATGATTATTAATTCTCACTTAAAGTATCAATGAATTCATTACACCGTTTTGTACATAAACCTCATCTGTTAACTAATATATTTTTAAAAAAATTCCCAAATAATGCTTTGAACACTCGGTTATCTTGCAATTTTCAATTTAATCGTTCAATTCATAGAAAGAGTTATTCCTCTAATTCAAAAGTACACACCAGAGTCGAAGAAGAGCTTCACGAAAAAGCTCATATCGATTATGATCGTGTAGCTATTAAATGGAATCCTTCGATCGCTAAATTGTATGAAGACGCTTTGAAATATGAAGATGGATCCGCCATCGCTTCATCTGGTGCTTTGGTAACCGCTTCTGGTCTCAAAACTGGTCGTTCTCCAAAAGATAAACGTATCGTTGACGAACCTGGTTCTTCTAATGATATTTGGGTAAGGAATTTTTTTTTTTGTTAAAAGTTATTTTAATCATCCTATCCTTTACTAAATTTGGCGCGTTTTACTGTCAATCATTTACTTTATAAAGTGGGGGCCTGTTAACACGAAATTGCCCGAAAATGTTTTCCTCATTAATCGTGAACGTGCTGTAGATTATTTAAATACTCGTAAAAGGATCTACGTCTTTGACGGTTTTGCGGGGTGGGACCCAAAATATCGAATTAAAGTTCGTGTGGTCTCCGCACGTGCTTATCACGCATTGTTCATGCGAAACATGTTGATTCGTCCTACAATTAAGGAACTTGAAACCTACGGTTCTCCCGATTTTACCATTTATAATGCCGGTGCTTTCCCCGCAAATCGTTACACCACCGGTATGACATCTACAACATCTGTTGCACTTAATTTTCATACACACGAGATGGTTATCTTGGGTACTGAATATGCTGGTGAAATGAAAAAAGGAGTGTATGTATTTTATTATAACATAATTATTATTTTAATATATATATACAGTATATATATATTTTATTATCATTATTAATTATTTCTAATTTTTCTATACACATATAGATTTACCGTAATGCATTATATAATGCCTGTAAAACATAATGTTTTATCATTGCATTCTTCAGCGAATGAAGGTCATGGAGGGGATGTTTCTATTTTCTTTGGTTTATCTGGTACTGGCAAGACTACACTTTCTGCTGATCCCAAGCGTCTCTTGATCGGTGATGATGAACATTGTTGGTCAGATGACGGTATCTTTAACATTGAAGGAGGTTGTTACGCAAAATGTATTGGCTTATCTCCTGAAAAGGAACCAGAAATTTTCAACGCCATTCGTTTTGGATCAGTTTTGGAAAATGTCGTTTATGATCGTCATACTCGTATTGTAAATTATGATGATAGTTCATTAACAGAAAATACGCGCTGTGCTTATCCGATTGAATACATTCCTAATGCCAAATTACCTTGTATTTCATCGGGTCATCCAAAAAATATTATCTTATTGACATGTGATGCATATGGTGTTCTTCCACCTGTCTCAAAATTATCACCGGCTCAAGCTATGTATCACTTTATTTCTGGATATACGGCCAAGATTGCAGGAACAGAAGAAGGTGTTACCCAACCGGAAGCTACGTTCTCTGCTTGCTTTGGACAACCTTTCCTTGTACTTCACCCTGCACGTTATGCAAAGATGTTGGCTGAAAAAATGAGACAACATTCTGCTGATGCTTGGTTGATTAATACAGGATGGCAGGGTGGTGCTTATGGAGTTGGTGAACGTATCAAGCTTAAATACTCCCGTGCCATCATTGATGCAATCCATTCCGGCGAACTTTCCAAAGCCGAATATGAATCTTATGATGTATTTAATTTACAAATTCCGAAATCTTGTACGGGTGTTCCATCTGATATATTAAATCCTTCAAGGACTTGGAAAGGTAGTGGAGAAGAATTTAAACATACTCGAAATTCATTAGCTGATAGGTTCATCAAAAACTTTAAGAGTTACGAAGATCAGGCTACATCTGAAATTCTTTCGGCTGGACCCGTCATCTCGTAGGTTTTGCTTGTAAAGAATAAAAAAAATAAACAAAAAATAAAATAAAACAAAATAAATAAATAAATAAAAACAAAACAAAAAAAAAAAAAATTTAGACGTATTATCAGAAAAGATGCGACGATAATTACGATATAAACTTTAATATTTTAATTTAACTAATTACAATTTAAAATATTTTAGAGCTTTGAATAAAAAATAAAAATAAAATTTTTAAATTGTTTTCATTTTTCCAATTTTTTTTTTTTTTCATTCGCTTTTTCACAATTAATCCCACTTTTTCATTCTTGTACTTTGTGTATAATTAGCAGAAAAAGAATTTTTAAAAATTAAAAATGAATAAACGAATAAAAACTACATATTATACATAAATTATTTCCTATCTTTATTGTTTTTACTAACTTTGATGAGAACGCAATTATGCTTCATCTTGTTTTGTACGAATACAAATCAGATAACAAATTATACGGCCTCTGTTTCTCTTATTACTTGAATATTATATCATCGCGCCACAAAGCAATTCACGCAATTCACAAAACAAAAACAAAAAATTCAATGATTGACATCTCGATATCTCGTATCGCGCAGCTCATTTGTGTTAATAATGGAAACGACAAACAGTATGTAGTGTAAAGTGGACGCGATATTTGCATAATAATGTAAACAGAGATAATAAAAACCTTTATTATATAATATAGGGTATAGAGAAAACAAAATCACTATAAAACTCTCATCATCTAATTATTTGTAGACTATGAACAAATAAAAACCAGAATAGAACTTATTTCTTTACACATGTCGCATTTTCTAAATCTGCAGTTTGGCATTCATCAGTAGCGTGAACAACAAAATATTCGTATTTTTTTTCTTTCTTTCCTCTTATACTAAGAATAACAGGAATAACGGCCACTAAAGCAGCTACAACTATAAAAATCATAAACAATGGGCCAAACAGATAATCTAAAATGGATTGGTTGAAGAATGAATCGTTTTCATCATCATCATCTTTGGATGAATATGAATCCTGAGAAATTTCTAGAGAAACAATAGTAGGAATCACCGAGTTTTCGTCGTCAGGTTCGCAACCTTGGAATGAAAAATCCATAAAAGGATCATATTGCTGATCTTGAATAGACTCGTCATCTAGAGTTATCTTTGATATATCATCTATTGCTATTTCAATTTCGTTACTTGGCAAATCAGGTGACCCTACGATGGTAATTTCAATGGTAGTAACAGAAGAATCCTCATCATTAAAGTTATCAAAATTTAAAGAATCTAACATCGCCTCAGTAGCTTCAATCGACATATCTACAAGATCATCTATCGCTTGGAAAGGATTTGAATGAATATCTTGTTTTGAAGTCATAAATTCATCGAATGGAGAAGAAAAATGATCATTATCGAGTAACCATGGATCTCGAGTAGAGAGATCATTTATTTGGTTATTTTCAGGTTCGCATTTCACGTTGGATAGGAGTAATGCGAGGATCGTGAGCAACAAAAGTACGAATTTAATCATTTTTGAAGAATCTTAAATGTTTGTAAATATGAAGATATTGCGAGAATGAGAATGGATTAATAAATATTAATAATTTATATTATTCTTATGCTGCATAAAATGTAATGTATCAATAAAAAACATCATTTTGATAATTGATATCATATACAAAATGGATCTATCGATTCGATCATATTATCGATCAAGATTTTATGCAAACTTTCCTTGACACTTCACGTACGTACGTACGTACGTAAAGGGTAACTGATAAGTTGAAAAATGTAATATATAATTTAAATGTTAATGGGCTTCCGGCTAACAGTATTCAGGTGGTACTGTATGTCAACAATGACTTGTGCATTTCTAATTAAAGAATTTACTTATGTTTTTATTATATCGATATTTGGATTGGACTAATTGTAGACTGGTAGGTGATACATCACAATTGCTTGCAAGAGATAAATAACAATAACGAACCATCAATTGAATTTAATGTTAAATGATTCAACCTTGAATTCTAGAGTCAGGAACATAAGTGAGTAACAAGGGCTTCGAAAATTTTGGATTTTATATCGCTATAGCGATAAATTGAGATATACAAATAAATTAATGATTGCTAATCCTATAACTTATATCGATATCGAGATATTTTTTATCTTTATACAGTTTGCCAGAATTTTTAATTATGTATGGATTTTAAAGTCTCATGACAGCTACAGAATTAGCAGTTAAATAAGTGTAACACAAACTTGTCATACCATTGAGCGTTTTATATATTGCTTATCTAAATAGATAAGACATTCTCTTTTCATCTAAAATCGAACAATTTGTATTCTTTCGTTTTTCATAAATCATTATTTAAATAACTGAGTAAATAAGTGTTCACTCATAAATGGAATCATCAAAAGTTTCCACTGTTTCAACTGAAATATCACAAACAAATAATTCTCAAAAAATGATAGCAAGCACTACAAAGTCTTCTATATCTGTACCAATAAGTAAGACTACTGCTACCACTAAAGAAACAATTGGCGCTCTTCCCGGGATATTAATTGGTGGTGCTGCAGCATGTGCAGCAGTTACATTTACAAATCCGTGGGAGGTTGGCGTTTATCATTGATTGATCCTGAGAGGAAATTTTATGTGTTTAATTTCTCCCTCCCTTGCAGGTAGTGAAAACTCGGTTACAACTTCAAGGTGAATTAGCTCGAAGTAATTCAAATTATGTAAAACCTTATAAAAATGTATTTCAAGCAGTCTATTACATAATCAAGCATGAAGGAATTTTCAGCATTAACAAGGGTTTAGGTAAGAAATATATATCTGTTATAAATGGAACGGAATTTTAAGTGAATTTAATAAAGTTACAATTTTTGGGTGGAATTTATTTTATACGAGTGCCACCAAGCAGTGTTAAATATCTGAAAAATTTTTTTGGTTCTTTGAGAACATAAATTGATTGATAATTTTATGTTCTCATGAACAATTTAATGTTCTTAATGGTAAAAAAAAAAAAAAATTTATATATTTTCTATATATCATATGAGAACATAAATTATAAATTGTATGTTCTTAGTTGGTTCTCAAAAGAGAACATAATTCTTAAATACAATGTTCTCAAATTTTTTTAAATGTTCTTGAGAACACTGAGAACATTAGATATTTAACACTGCCACCAAGTGAAAACTCAAATCGGAAATTTATTATTTATTAATTGCTAGACTCAGTCGTGATTTAAAACGTATATGACACGTAATTAAATTTACTCATATATCATATATGTTTCTGATTAGGGTTGAATATAGCAAATAATAAATGGTCAACTTAAATTCCCGGGTAAGGTTTTCCTTTGGCAGCGCTCATATAAACTTACATTATAACCCTAAAATCCTAAGAAATTTTAAATTCACTTAAATTCCGTTCCCACTTACAACATATCTACCTCGAGAATAAAGTAGTCCTAAGTCAGTATGTGAAACAATATGATCTGTGAGACTAGTTCTTAGAATCAGAGGAAGAATTGCCAGTTGTTATAGACCTTAGAGTATCCATCACCAACCATATGATTAACCAATTCTGATCATTTTATAAAGGCCCAGCTTATGCATATCAAATTTTGATGAATGGTTCACGTCTTGGTCTTTACGATCCAATTCGAAACTCTCTTGTTTCAACTTTTGGTACTTCAAGCACTTCGTTACCAATTAGCATTGTTTCTGGAGGTCTTTCTGGTATTATTGGTGCTTTTGTAGGCTCTCCTTTATATTTGGTCAAAACTCGTATGCAATCTTTTTCAACTCATATGGCAGTTGGGCATCAGCATAATTACAAAAACACTTTTAGTGCTTTAACACAAATATGGAAGTCAGATGGTATAAAAGGGTTATATACAGGTGTTAATGCAGCAATGATAAGAACTGGCGTTGGTTCTGCGACCCAATTATCAAGCTATTTTTATATAAAACGATGGATAATTAACAAGATTGGGATGGATGATAATGATATTTTATTGCATAGTCTTGCAAGTATGATAACGGGACTTTGTGTTTGCACAACTATGAATCCATTTGATGTTATTAGCACACGTATGTATAACCAAAAAACGGATATTAGCGGAAAAGGAAGGTATGTCTTGTTTTTGGTGTTTTTTTTTTTTTTTTGTTGAAATAATAAACTTATTTCATTCTTCAATTTCAATTATAAAAGCCTGTATAAAAGTACTTTCGATTGCTTTATAAAGACAATTAAGACTGAAGGCATTCAAGGACTTTATAAAGGATTTATACCTCATTATTTTAGAATTGGGTAATTATAAATTATTATTTTTCATAAAAAGTGTCGTTAATCCATTATTATGCAACTTTTTTAATTCATATATTATTTTCCAGACCGCATACAATTTTAACTCTAGTATTTTTGGAACAATTTCGTGGATTATATATAAAATATACACAATGATGCACTTTAATATAGGCTCCAATGATCCTAATTTTCACATAGAATGTATGGTTTTTTATAATAATGATTTAAAAGGATTGTTGCAAACATGAAATTCTAAATTTAAGCATTATAAAAAAATAAATAAATATTATATATACTATATAAAGACATTAATTTTATCATAATTGATATTGCAAAGATAGCTTTGATCTGATGAAAGATTCTTTTTGTTTGTCTTTCCTTTTTGGTATTTTGTTATATTCCAGACTCGAAAATTCTACAGACAGTGCAAATTCATGTGATTGGATAATTAGCGATTAGGATAGATAAATTTAATCATATGTGAATTTTCACTGCCATAAGCACTGTCCGTAGAATCTCCGTTCCAGACTGTGTTCTCTAAAATTATTTGCACGTGCCCAGAAATAGGTTAGCATATCGATATCGTTATATCGATATCGTTATATACCGTTTAGACCGGTCTATACCAGGGTTAAGAATTTGGTGGAATGTAAGAGCTGGTGATTTTATATACAAGTTATACAGAACAAACAGGAATCTT